AAAAAAAAAAAAAAAAAAGAATTAGCATGGATGCCAGGTGCAATGGCTCATGCCTGTAATCTCAGCAATTCGGGAGGCCAAGGTGGGAGGACTGCTTGAGACCAGGACTTCAAGACCATACTGGGCAACACAGTGAGACATGGTTCCTATAAAAAAAATTCTGAAAGATGGGTGGCACCTATGGCTCAGTGGGTAGGGTGCCGGTCCCATATACCAAGGGTGGTGGGTTTAAACCCAGCCCCAGCCAAACTGCAACAAAAAATAGCTGGGCGTTGTGGCAGACACCTGTAGTCCCAGCTACTTGGGAGGCTGAGGCAAGAAAATCGCCTAGGCCCAGGAGTTGGAGGTTGCTGTGAGCTGTGTGACACCATGGCACTCTACTGAGGGTGGTAAACTAAGATTCTGTCTCTACAAAAAAAAAAAAAGAATTAAAAACAATTAGCCAGGCACAGTGGTGCACACCTGTAGTCTCTGCTACTTGTAAGACTGAGATGGAAGAACCACTTGAGCCCAGGAGTCTGAGGTTGCAGTGAGCTATAATGATACCATTATACTCTAGCCTGGGCAACAGAGCAAGACCTTATCTCAAAAAAAAATTAACCATGGAAAGAGTGAAATTTAATCCAATACAATTATTATGGGTATTTCTTCTATACAACTTAGAAAATGGGTAACTTAAAACTAGTCACCCATTTGGCTCATCTTTAAGAAAACTCAGCTGCCTCAGAAGAGATCTAACAGAGACCACAACATAAATTATTAGGTGTTAAGGATGCCTCAAAAAGCAGAGATTGTGCCAGAACTTATACAAGAGCGAAACTCAAACTTGGAAATCTGTTTAAATTTAGAAATTAAGACTTTTAAAAAATGGCCAGCCTCAGTGGCTCATACCTATAATCCTAGTACTCTGGGAGGCCAAGGGGGGTGGATTGCTTGAGCTCAAACCAGCCTGAGACAGAGCGAGACCCTGTCTCCAAAAATAGCCAGGCATTGTGGCAGGCACCTGTTGTCCCAGCTACTCAGGAGGGAAGAGAATCACTTGAGCCTACGAGTTTGAGGTTGCTGCAAGCTATGACACCATGGCACATTACCCAGAGCAACAGAGTGAGACTCTGTCTCAAAAAAAAAAAAAAAAAAAGACTTTAAAAAAGTACTAAAAAGTACTAATACATGTCTGGAGTGCTACTTGTGTGACTATTTAATTTTTTGTAAATCTTTTAAAAATTGGTCACATTGGGCTGTGCTTAATCCAACATTTACCAAATAATAAAATGACTAACACTATCCTTTCACATTCATTCATCTCAACAACTGCGAATGCATCTCATGCTCTTGAAAACCAAAAGAAAACTACCAAGCTGAATGACATATTCACAGTAAAAAGTACTTAGAGAATTTAGAGTGTGTTTTCTTTTTGTCCAAGATAAAAATAAAATTCACGTTCACATAGCACACTTTTTTTCCCAAAATTCATTATATAATTTCTATAAGAGATACAAAACACCAAAGGTTTACTGAGTATAAGAGGTGATTATTTTTATGTATATTTTATAAGTAAAGAAAGTAAGACAGAGAACAGTTAAATGCTTTGTCCAGAATCACAGAGGGTCATTGGGCTTAGAACTCACAGCCTGGACGCTCATGTAATTGTCATTTCCTTAATGTGACTTAGCAAGATATAGAACCAGCTACTAATAGCTGGGTACTTTCCACTTAGCTTAGGATGTGAATTCTAGTTTCAAGGCACTACAAGTGTATCTTTTAAAAGGCCAGATGGCTTTCTAAGGTGTCACAACACATCTTCCTAATGAAGGGGTCTCTTCTTTCCCTTTGAGAAGGTGAGAAGAAACAAAAAGTCTAAAAAAAGGAGAGAACGATCTATCTCATACTCCACAAAAGATGAACTTCTAGCTCCAAAGCATGGGGCTTTGTTTTTGGTTTTTTTGCATATTTTGTTTTTAATCTTAAGGGTAGGAGGCTAAGATGAAACCAACCCAAGTTTTCAGGCACCACAAAAACCACAGAACCAGGACCGGCAGGTACTAGCAATGGAGTTGGGTGTGGCTAACTCACTGCACTGGCTGACTTAGAGCCCAAACAAGGGGGGTGGGAGGTGGGGGCAAAAAGGTGAGAAGAAACTAGGTGCAAGAAGGAAGGATAAAAGGGATAGAAAAGGGTACTGGAGAGGAGTAAAGGAAGAGGTCCAAAAAGCAGGCTTAAAGGGAAAGTGCTAGCAAAAATTGTATTTGGTGCAAACAGGCTGCTAATTCCCGGCAATAATAATCCAGGGCAGAGCCTTAACAACACTGTGGGCAGTTTCTCTGAGTCAATGAGTGAGTTCGGCTTGAAAGCTTTCCATAAAGGCACATACCAGTTCTTGTTCCACTTATGTGCAAATTCCACGAGCAGGAAGAGCTGAATGCCTATAAAGAGAAAGCCTCCCACGGCTCCCACGTAGAGCCAGGCTGCAAAAGACCATCAAAAAGGCAAACAGGTGATATTTCCATGTGATTAGCCCTGAAGAGAATAACCACAGCTAATTTTTGCTGAATGCTCATTATATTTGTTAATAACATTTAATTCCTACACGACCAAAGAAGGTGAGAATTACTATTATACTTCACAAATGAGAAAAACTGAGAGTCTAAGTAAATCAAAAAATACTTCATAGCCAGTAAAAGGCATAGTTGGGTTTGAATACAGGCAGTCTGGCACCGGAGCATCCAAGCTTAACTTCCATGCTAGATATCCTAACACATCCGGCAATAATAAAATTCACAATGATCCATAATTTTAAAGCAAAAATACATAGAGCCAGAAAAATCAAAAGTTCTCATTTTATTGGCTTAAAAAAATCATTAATGTCCAATGAGAAAATGAGGCTGGGTCTCAGGGGACAAGAACTCAGGTCTACCTCTGGCTGTGCCACAAAGGAGCTATAACCTTGGATGAACCGTGTCACGTGGGTGACTACTTATCTATAAAAATGACTGAGCTGGACTAGAGGACTTCTAGGTCTCTACTTAGTCTAAATATACTATTGCAGCACATGAAAGTATTTCCATGGAGAATTTAAAAACTAGTTACCAGTATTTTTGGTAAAACAGACTTGGTTACATCATTATTAAGGAGTATATGGAAAAAGTATCTGGACTCTGATATGTACCTATTTGAGGGACTAAGACAATCTAAATGCTTTTAATTAGGGATAATTAGGGAAGTGAATCCATCTGAGTTAAAGAGTGTTTTGAAACACTGAACCCCAGGCTTTTGGCCTCAGCTAATATGAAGAAGGGCCCCATTTCAGCTATGACTAAAGGCTTCATATTAACAAACTTTGGTAGACTCTATGAGTAAGGAATATAATTCAGTGTTTTATAGCTGCACACAAGGTAAATCAAAAAACAGACCAAAGGATGCTATTCTCAACCCATCCCAGCTGCAACAGATTTTTAGGTACTAAAAGCCCTATGCTCCTCCTGGCTGCTGAGTTTTCTATACATCACTCAGAAAGAACAAAGTCATTCTGGTAGGGTTATGCTGACATGCCACACTGGTTTTCAAACACATTTTAAATGCTTCGTTTTCCCTTCAGGCCAATAACCCTAAAATTAAAAATTTAATGTTTCAGCCAGCAGAATAACAAAAGTCCTCATATACCCTGCCTGGAAGTTTCAGGGAATGGGGGTGGGTTGGGAAAAAAGGAGGAGGACAGGGAGTGGAGAGGATAAAATTTGAGCAGGAAAACCAGGAATTATTTTTAAGTCTTAAAAAAAAAAATAATATCAAGACTATGCCTTTCAACAATTTCACAAAATGGGTAAAAAAACAAAATAAATAAGTACCCCGAATACCCCATTAGTACCGTTCAGAAAGGTCTCCTGATCTGGAATGAAGAAAGCTCCTGAGCACAGAGCCGCCAACAGCAGGAGTTTAAAGAACCAAAACCTGGAAAGGAAAAAAAAAAAAAAGAGAAAATATGTTTAAATGATATTCAAGGAATGACAAAAGATTTCTTAGAAGGTAATCATGTCAACCCCTGATTGTGCCTTAGGCGACATTCTCTCCAAACTGAGGGGAGTGATTATTAAACAGACTTGGTACAGCCTCTGACTGTGCAAAACACCATTTCACTGCAGGTGAGGAAATAACCTGGGGCAGGTCTTGACACGGGAAATAAACTGTCCACTAAATTTCTCATCAGGCACCAGGTGTTGCCACGAACCGAATTCTAGCTCTCTGGCAACTGTGCGGTGACAAGTTCCTCCTTTCCCCAAATCAATAGTCTCAACTCCAGGAAGAGTAGTTAGAGGGCCCGAGGATGGGGGAGAGGGGGTGTCCTGGAATACTGTACTGAATATGAGCAGAGGAGAAAGAGAACTCCAGGAGACAACAAGCCTTACCCATTGTGAATCTGAGCTCTACAACTTTTGCTGTTGGAGATTTTCAAGGTCAGCAGACAGAAGATGAAGAAGAAACAAGCCATTCCAAAACAGACTCTATACACCGCTGAATAGCCCACCAGATTCTCGCAGCTGTCACCAGCCTTAATGCCTTTACACATATCTTCAAAAAAAGGAATCTGAGGAGAAAGAGTTTAGAAAAGTCATGTGCTGTAATCAGGGAAGAAGAAGGTTGACCTGGCGTGTTCACTGGGCCTACAACTCAGAGACCACGTGGAAATAGGCCACACAAATAAAGTCGGAGGAAAATCTATCTTCTAAAGACTTTCTCTTAATTTTCTGGGTCACTTTTAAAGATACAGTGCTTATAAAGTGCCAGGCAACCTTTATTTGCTCCAAATGATTTCTGAAATCCAGCAACAGAATTTTCAAAGATTACATTTGTCATATGTGGATATATTTTTCTTGAAGTGTGTAAATACATAAATAATGATAGGCTTCCTTCGCTAGCACCCCAAAATGTCATTCCCCTCCCCAGAAGAGTTAATGGTTTGGCAGGCAGGGCATTTTAATTACTTCACATATATAAATGTGTATACACCGTATATGTAACACATATACAGGTACATACACTTACACAGTACTGTATACATAGCAGGTATATTCAAACAGTTTTTAAAAATAAGATTATATGTAATGTCCTACAATATGTTTTTTACTGATTAATAAGCCCTAGAGAGACTTCCCTATTAATATATCCCCCTCATTGTTTTTTAAAGGCTGTATAATATTTTGTAGTAAGGCCAGATGAACACTGATAACCTTTCCCACACTTACTATTTTTGTTAGGGTGGGGTTTGTGTTTTATTGTACTTTATGTATTTGTTTTTTCCTATCACAAACACTGATTCTATAAACACCATTGTGTGGACCTCACTGTACATGTGCCTTTATGCTTAGGGCCAGAAGTGTTTGAGATTTCAGATTTTTTTCCAGATTTTGGAATATCTGCATTACACATTACTGGTTGAGCATCACTAATCTGAAAATCCCAAATGTTCAAACGAGCATTTCTTTTGAGCATGATGTTGGCACTCAAATATTCTCAAATTTTGGAACTCTTCTAGATTTTGGATTTTTACATTACGGATACTCAACCTGTACCTACATTTAAAATTTTCAACAGGTGACGTCAAATTGTATTTTTAAAGGCTGCACAAATTTACATCCCACTAGTAACATCTGAGATTAGTCATTTTCCCAGCCTAGGCATCCAGTTTAAAGGGAAAACCCCAACATCCTGTTTTAATGTACCCCTTCCTCATTACTGGTAAGGTTCAACATCTTTTCATGGGTTTATAGTCAGCTGCATTTTTTTCTAAATTGACTGTTAATTGGGTTTTTCCTTGATCCACTGGAGCTCTTTATTTATGGGTCTTAATCTTCTAATAAATGTTTATAAGAATATATAAAATAAGGATTTAATCAGTGGTTTTAAAAACTTGCTCCTTATTAACATCAAAGTTGAATGCTCTTCAGAACAGAAAATAGTTAAATCACAAATAGCTATTATTCCCAAGAAACAGACAAATATCTGGCTCAGTGCCTGTAGCTCAGTGGCTAGGGTGCCAGCCATATACACTGGGGCTGGCAGGTTCAAATCCAGCCAGGTCTGCCAAACAACAATGACAACTACAACCAAAAAATAGCCGGGCGTTGTGGCGGGCGCCTGTAGTCCCAGCTACTCGGGAGGCTGAGGCAAGAGAATCACTTAAGTCCAAGAGTTTGAGGTTGCTGTGAGCTGTGATGCCATAGCACTCTACCCAGGGTGACATAGTGAGACTCTGTCTCAAAAAAAAGAATCGTATTCTAGAACAATACAGCAGAATCTCTGAAAGGAGTGGAATAATCAAGGCATCAGTATTGTTCAGATATCCCTAGGTGATTTTAATGTGCAGCCATAACTGAGAAGGATAGAT